TGGCCTCAGACTGTTGCACACCAAAAACAGAAAGGTCTTACAACAGCGCGAAGACACACCTTGTGGAGCTGACGGTCCGGCTCATTTCCCAAGTGTGCACTTTTCGCATAACATGCAGCTCCAAGGGCAGCTTTGGATGTGCACACAATGTGGAGGAGTCCTGTCTCTCCACAGCACAGCCTCAAAGAAGTTGGCAGGCACTTGCACCTTCAGGAAAGACGGCCGCAGTAAAGTGCAACAAGCTAAAGCTGTTGAGGCTTGTCTCAGCATAGGCAAGTTTTTCCACCACGGCAGCAGACCGGTTGAAGACCAACCAGCGCCTGAAGACACGCCCCCTGGGTAAAAGTCCGCGGAAAAAAAATTCTCAATGTTGTTGTTCTCCCCCGCCCCACCCCCCGAGGCCCGGAGAGTTCCAACCTGGGTTGAACCTGGGTTCGAACCCCCGCCCGGACCTTGTTCTAAAAAGAAGGGTGAGTGTTTGTTTTCCCTCCGTTCCTCTTAAACCCGGTAGGAAACGGAAGCTGAGTTGGAGCTGGTCGCAATCTGGAGTGCTTGTATGTTAACGGAGCTTGTGGCACATGTTCGATGAAAAATCGAAAGGCATAGCATCTTTGTCAAAACCATGGATTCTCCAAAACTGGTTGCTGTTTTTGGCCTTTCCGAGTCCCAACCCGACCTGGAAGGAAACGGAAGCTTAGTCCGAACCAAAGAAGCCGTGAAGTTTTCATGCAAGCGCCGCATCTGGTTTAGAAGACAGGAAGAAGATCAGACCCATCGACAATCAAGAAAAGCTACAAACTGTAAAACTGTCCAGACTGCAATTGCGAGAAGTGTTTGTAAAGACACCAGCAGCGACAACAACCATGCACAGCGAAGATGCTGGCTATATACACGTTCAGCACCACACGCTTTAGCCAATGGCATGCCAACATGCGGAGCATAGAAACTACACAGCAATAGAGCCGGATCGGTCTGCGACGATGCAAGACAGCGCCACCGAATGCGATGACTTAGTCGTCGTCGTGTGTGTGTGTGTGTGTGTGAAAGAACAGCAGAATCGTTTCCATGTCCACTTCACATCGTGTGGCAGATACCATGCATTTTACATTTCCGAAGGCCTTATGGGGGCTTTGCAGAGTGACTTAGGCGCTGGAGCAAACATTTGCTCTTTCGTACATGGCCCGCTTGCGTTTAACATGTTGGCTTGTTGTTCTTCCAGGGAGAGCTTGGTTCTGTTCCACCGGTATGGTTTTCAGAGACTCATTTGACGTGATTTCATTTTTGCCAAGCCCACAGCCCTTGACCAACGGCGCATCAGTCGAGCGCGGCAAGGCCACAAAGCTGCCTGTGTTGGTAGTTGTGTTTTAACAATAAATTTGGATGCATTTTGTGATGTAAAAATTTTTATTGTGGAACGGTCAACGCTGCGAGGCGCCTTGGCGTGAGCCGATTTTCCTACAATGAAAGTCTTGTGCTCGGCTAAAGTGGCCTTGATGCGCTGCAACTTTTGTTGACACTCACTCGGTATTAAACTTGGTGGTGTTGAAGTTCCTTTGGGTCCGTGGAATTCAATATATGCATGGGCTGCATTGGGGCATGTGTAGTGTGTACCTCGGAGCAACAACACATTGCAGTTGCTACAACCGTTCTGGTGGCGAGATTTTCGCCTCAATTGATGGCTTCCGCAAAAGTTTCCTGTTCAAGGGAACGTGGAACTCCTCTTGCGTTGCAAGAGGCGCTTGTGCCGCTGCTTATATGTGATGCATGAGTGACATCCCTGTAGTGTTCTTGAGCAGGTGAGCTCCATGGCGGCCTTTGTCATACAAGGACTTGCCGTGGTGGTTCATCTCACCATGATGCCCACCGCGATTCCTGTTTACAGACATGCGACAGGGGGACCGTTGCTGAGAGAGTTGCGGCGGCCTCACCAACCTGGGCCTAGTCATTGCATTGTGCAAGTTCTGTCGGTGGGGGTTTACGTGCGTTATGACTCAGGCCTGAAACACAAGTCGGGAAGTTAGGCAAGGAGCTGGATGTTGGCTTTTGAAGGCGCTGGCACCACGGATCTAGCAAGAGCGGAGGCAGTCTCGTGACCAGCCGGAGCATTGCAAAGTTCCCTGTCCAGGCCGTTTGCACACTGCTGATCGTACAGTCGTGGGCTTTCGGTTGTTTTCTGGAGTTGCCATGTTGCAGGAAAATTCCCTCGACTCTTCCAGCACGTGCGTGTGCTTGGTTTCTGTCTGAGTTCCGACAACGTTGAACACGGTCCGAATGATGACACTTCTTCGTAAGGTGGCCGCATTTGTCGGAGCTGCTCTGCTGGCGAGGTGGTTCCCGAAACACTTGTAGACAGCCAGGCAGAGTTTTTAACACTGATGATGGAGCTTTGCAAGCGTTGGGAGGACTTTTGAAGATTCCGGACTGAAGATTACACTTTGGATTTGCATGCTAGCTAGCTAGAAAGAGTCGAAGTGGCTGGATGAAGGTTTGAAGAAATGCTTCGGATCAGAAATCATCGGGATGAGACTCGGACTAGGACCAGGTACCAACCAGACACTCGGAGGAGGCAGGAGTTTCAGCAGAGGGTGAGTATATCCACGATGTAGTTGAAGCTTGAAGGCACAGAATATTATGACGAGGACAACGAGGGTAAGGACGATGCAGCAATGTTCATAGATGTGAATGAGACAAGCACCATTGAAAGGAGTGTTGATGGGCATGATGCTGACGATGCGAAGACTGATAATGTCGGGGTTGTTGTTGTTGTTGTTGTTGTTGTTGTTGTTGTTGTTGTTGCAACTGTCGATGATGATGGTGGTGATGATGATCATGATGATGATGACGACATGGCTATCGTGATGCTGAATCCGGTATGGATGACGACGGTAATAATGACGAATAACATGATACTAGCGACAATGGTGATGGAAAGGACATGGATGGTATTGACGATGATGGTGATGAGGTTGCTGAAACTGACATTCATGATAGTGAGGCTGAATTAGACAGAGTAGCTGGAATTCGTATTCGTTAGCAGAATGCGATGACGTAGAGTTGTCCTGGTGATGCTGAGAACAGTGATCACGACGACGTCGACGTTCTGCCCATCTCATTATTTGGACATCAGGCGTTTCTCGCTATCGCGACCACGTGGTGTCAGAGTGCATGCCTCGGAAGACCTTTCGGTCTGGAGTCGTCTATGGTTGGTGTTTGCTTCTCATGCTGTGTGTGTCCTCGTAGTGAGGCGTTCTGGAGTGGAAGCCAACATCTCTCCAGGCAAGTCAACCTGCAAGCACGTAGAGAAGTGGTGACAGCCATCATCGTTGATTGCTCTCAGTTCTATATGCTATAGGCCTACAGTACACTGTATGACAAGCCCTGGCCAGATCGGCTACATGTCTCCATGCCCGCAAGAGAAAGAGGCATGCTGCACCTTCCTGGTCGTGCAGAGCAGCATTCCACACACAGAGCAGTATGCCATTCTCGAAAGGCATGCGTTTTGGTATAATGAAGATCTTTCGAAGGCCCCTCGCCTGGCCCTGAGTCCTGCATCGGTGGGTTCGGCTTTCCTTGTAGTTGCACACCAGCTTCAGGCTGGCTGCCCGGCTGGAAAGGCCGAATTCAGAACTGGTCCTGACACGAGCTTCATGCATGAGAACGGTGAGTGAATCCAAGCACCCAGCAAATTTCTGGACGCTTCCCGACGCTTGCTGACAGAGCAAGACGCGATGCGATGAGTGTTCGCAATGTGTCCCACCTGGCCAGAAGAGAAGCTCAAACAGACGGATGATGACGATGATGAGGAAGAACAGAAAGGCGCGCAGTGTTTGCTAGCCTTGCCGTGTGACGGTGATTCCCGGTGTGCTGCCCGTGCCAGAAGACGCCTTCCCAGAGGGTAGGACGCCAACCGAGTCCCTGCCAAAATTCATGACGTACGAGTTTTGGAAGACACGACCTCAGCGTCTCAAGAGCCCAGCCGTGGCGAGTTGTTCGAAGCCCGCATGTTTCAGGAAGATGCCCGGAGGCCTGCGGTGTCGCAGCTAGAGCCCCGGACTTCTCAGAGTGCGGCCGAGACTGCAGGAGTTCATACTTGCAGGTCCGCGATATTGGAAGATGTATTTCAACGAAGATGGCACTGCTCCGAAGTACGATAGATTCAAGCCAACTCCTCAAATAACGTTGGCTTTGCTTGGACCACGGCTATGGTGCCTGTCTTCAGGTACCATTCCCTGGCAGAGGTGCCGGACCCTGATGTGAGTGCTAAGACTAAGACCATTCAGTGCTCTGCCGTTTTGCAGGCCATTGACATCATTTTCAGCTTCTACGAATCGGCACCCAATGATGCCCACGATTCATCTCTGGAGTTGCTGCCTTGGACATAGGTGGTTGTCAGGATCGTTTCCTGAACTAGATGCTCCTCCCGGTAGTTGCGGTCACATGCCCTTCCCCAGGATTGCCATGTTTATGGCGTTAGATGCCAAGTACCCGGACCAACAGATCCGGCCATTCTCCGAGATTCGTGTTTGCCATGTCGGCAGTTTAAGTCACTCGTGGGCTCGGGCTCGGCCAAGGATGAAAGTGAAGCTCCCCAATGGGGCTGGCAAGCAAAAGCGAGTTGCTGTCTTCTGCCCTCCGGCGGAAGAGGAGGAGGCTGCGGCCTGACCTCACCACCTCGCCGGCCTCGGGGCTGTCTTGTGCCTGCACAGGCTTTGGAGTCGGGTGCCACCATTGCCGGCAAGGCCTTCGGGGCCTGTGCTAGCCCGGGACGAGTACGAGTGCAGACCAAAACTGCGCTTGCACGGAGCAGCTGCATGGCCAGACCCTCCAAGACGAGCTTGTCGCGGAAGAGTTCAATTTCGACGTGCACATTGCGCAGCGTTTGTCAATTCCATGTGGGACTATGTGCACTTTGTCAGACTGCATTGATGGAGGTACTGATCGCAAAACCAGCTATGATGCCAGCGCTGGCAAAGCTGGGAAAAATCCTGGGACCCAGGCTGCCAGTCAGCATCTGGGGACTCATTTGCACTTTGCATGCTTGTGAGGAAGCTGATGCCTTCACCGAAGTCTGGAACCCTCGTCAGAAGCACGGTTAGGTGCAGAGACGGTGCACGTGCTTTGCCTTGGTTGGACAAGGTCACAGATATCAAAACAGGTATTGAAGCGTGGGCTTCCGGAGGCTGGCACGCGATTGTACTGAGGCTTCCTGCCCCCAATGAGTGAAAGGTACGGTGGAGTTAAGAAACAATGACAACATGTTCGTCACAGCCTTACAACAAGCTCGCATTTTTTTTGCAGATGACATGCCCCTTCCTCAGATCGGCTGCCCCTTCGCGAAGATTTCACAGGGGAAGGAAAAGTGCCTGCCCAAGCACTTTCGGATGCCGGTACGGAGTAAGGGTTGCTCCATTGCCCGGTCAAGATGGAACTTCTTCTCGCATCCCTCTCGGAGTTGGGTACCCGTAGTCACGACAGTGAAGGCGAGACATTTTGACACGATGAACACGAACATGACCGCGCTTGAAGCGGGCAGCTAGGTGTGATGGGAATCATCTGCTCTGAAGCCATGGCAGCACGTGCAATAGAGCGTGCTTCAAGACATCACTAGAGTGAGTAGGTTTGACATGCAGCATGACTTGATAAGCTCATGGTCTTTGCTGGGAATGCAGCCAAGGCGTCTTCAGAGTTTTCACCATCCTGTTACACCCAGTTGTCCAGTGGAGCTCTTTCTTCACCTGAATCGTCTCGGCTCATCGGCCCGCCACTCCCCTATCTCTCTGTTGCTCTGTTGTCTGTGTTGCATCGGCATTGTCCCTTTTCAATCCCATTGACGTCGAAGCGTCGTCAATACACGTGGGTAGGATTGACGGTATGCCGTGTTTATGCTTTAGACTGCCCTATCGGCTTCATCAGGGCCGAGCATCTGCAGTCACATGCAAAGTCTAATGGACATGCCCGCAAATGTGGGTTCAGGTGCTTGGAGAATTTGCGGGGCCTCCTTCAGCAGCTTGCTGACAACGCCCCACCAGGTGCCAAGAAACGAGAGGCCTGACCAATCTGCAAGTTGTGTTCGTTCAAGACCATCGAGAGTGCAATGTCCTGACCGTACCAGGAGTACTTCGCAAGGATGTTCGTGAAAGGTGACGACTCACCTTCGGTCAGGACTGCTCCCAACTGCGGCTGATGGCCGTTGACAGTGTTCGTTCGAACTCGAAATGAGAGGATCGATCCCAAAGAGTTCCCAGACCATGGCCTGCACACCTATTGGGACATCAGCTCATACTGTGCGCCAGACACAAGCCATCATGACCAAGGCTACGAGAAGCCCGTGACAGGAACAACGTACTTCGCACAACAGGCCGCATCTTTTTGGTGTCAGTTCCCTGACCGATGCAGCGTCCTGGCCAGGTTCTCGCAGGCTGAGCATTGGAAGGCCGTTGGCAGACTATGAAGTCTACAGGTGCAACCAAGTATTGAATAGCGCATGCAGCAAAATCACGGATTATGTGAGAGTTTCTGTGTCGGTTCACCGAATTTCTCGTAGCTGCGGAGTTGACATCACGAAAAAATCGTGCCTGCATTGCGCACGATTATATGTGTAGTCGACAGAGATCAGGACGGGTTTGCCTCAGATGCTAAGCCTTGCTAAGTGCGGGCGCGTCGTTCGTCGTACTATCAGTTGTTTGGCAGAAGTGCAGCTTTCCTGCTTTCTCCGCAAGGTCGTACGGGCTTGAGGTAGTCCCAGGGACGATTGTTCAGCAGTGAAGCGAAGTGATGCATCTTGCTGACATTCTTGATTTGCTTGCGCGAGTGTGACTAAGGTCAATAAGTCCAGGCATGTCTCTGCACTGCATACGGAAGCATTCTACACGAGACTCTGGCACTTCAGCTGCGTCTCTTGGCCATGGACTTGGACCCAATCCTGACTCATGCCGAAAGCGGTGATCTGGATGCTATGAAAGCAGTCTTGGCGGATAGCGACAGCGTCAACAAGCGGTTAAAGCTTAGAGATGCAGACAAAAGGACTGCTTCGACACATGAGCATGGTAGCTGGCATAGCTAAGCCTCGAATTTTCCCACTCGAAGTCGGCGTCCCTAGAAGACAGGACCGCATTGCACCGAGCATGCGCTGCGGGGCACGAGCAGATTGTCGCGCATCTCCTCAGCCATCGTGCCAACCCCAATGTGGAAGATGAGGAGGACAGGAGGTAAATCGGACAGGGCAGAGTGGGAGCCCGTCCTTGTGTTGGATCTGTTCTGTGACGCTTTGCCGCGGCTCAGGAGTGGACGCCACTACACTCTGCTGCCAGCCGTGGCTCGGCGTCCGTGGCCACTCTGCTGACAGAAGCTGGTGCAGATTGTGATGCGACAACGTCTTCGGGAACCAGCGCTCTGCATTACGCGGCCTCGAAGGGGCACGATGAGGTGATCCGGATTCTGATTGGGGCAGGTGCCAAGGTGAATTCGAAGGACCGGAGTGGTGGCTTTCCGCTTTTGAGAGCGGCAGGCGCCGGTCGGCTTCAAGCTTTGAAGATTCTGCTCGAGGCGCAAGCAGATCTGAGATGCAAAGACAAGTCAGGAGACAACGCGTTCCATGTTGCCATCAATGGCCATCACACAGCGATTTGTGAGATACTCTTTGACCGGGACGAAGCGGAGAAGCTAATGAAGCAAGAGAACGAAGATGGTAAAACAGCAGCACAAATGCTTCTGGACCTTGCACCGGCTGAGACTCGAGACAAGATCAAGTCGATATGGAGAGAGAAGAAAGGTGGTTAGACCTTTTCGTATCTGCGAAAAGCTGCTTGGAGAAAGGGCCACGGCGGGTAGGCATGCCACTTGCATCCCAGCCACCTGTACCCTTGCATGTCGAGCTCGTCTTGTCAGTGGTCAGACTGCATGCTTTCAGGCCGCAGGAATCTGACGTGTAGAAGTGGCTTGTGTTTGGGATGGTTTGAAAGCTCATGGTCATACCATATATTGCGGTAAGGGCTTTGCGTGTGCGCCAAGCACTTTGATGGGCTTGGCATTGCTGAGCTTCTGCAGGCTTTGACGGAATTTTTCAACAGTGGCAACAGATATGGACCAAGAAGGGTCTCGCTTGAAGGCTTTGGATCGCCGAGGCCGCGATTGCATCGTCCAGGTGGCGGCTGGTGACATGGCCGCAGTCGTTCTGCAGATCTACAGAGTGAAGGGACAAGAAGCCAGTGAAGAAGCGAAGGTGGGTTTGGATGCCGTGAACTCGTGGGTCCAGCTCTCAGGTTTCGGCTGAGAGCTCGTGCTGCGGAGTATCTCCCCGAGGTCGTGCAAGACATCGGATTCTACTCTGACGCGGCCTGTGTGACGAGCATCGAGGCTGCAACTCCTCCTTTTGGTTGTTGACACCATGGGCCTCTTCTTCTAGGCACGCAGGCGTGGTTCCTCTGTTCTCCTCCCGGCCTCAAGCCTCGCTTGAACTGGGCTGCAGCCTCCAGTCGCCGTCGTCTTCACTCGCACCTTCGGAAACCCATCACGTTTTATGTGTAACTCGTGCTAAACCGTTCCTGGAGACGGGTCAGCCCAGAGTGGATCTGTAGAGCATGGGTTTTCGAATCCTGGCTATGGTGCTTACAGACAGCGGTGGCTAGATGTGATGCTTATCGATTCGTTCCGTTGTTGGTGCTCGTCGTGACGTCGTCCTGCTTCTATTTCCAGGGTGAGGTTAGCGTCCGTTTTGCTTATCCTCGTCTTGTATGTGCACCGTTACACCAGAAGCACAGGCCGAGAGTCAATGAGTGTTTGGGGTCAGTAATGCAGAAGCTCACCTTTGCCAAACAACTGAGAATCCTGGAGACCTCTGGAAGGTAGAGGAAAGTGGGTAGGCAGAACTGTCCTCGGAAGTGTCTTGCACATGGATGTTGCCGAGAGGCGAGACCTTTCCGAAGTCTTCAAGGCAGGTTGTGAGCTGACATGAGATGAAGCATGATCAAAGACAAAGCATCGGCTGCACCGGAAACTTGGCAGAGGCAACGGCTTGCGATACGATGGCAGTGCTTTCTCTTCGTGCAGAGCCAAGGATTAACGGGATTGAACAAATGAAACTGGGCAGATGAATGATGATGCTGATTGATGTTTGGGAGCGTTTGATGGAGAGCGCGAATAGCACCGATAAACGAACTGTTGGCCTGCGGAGGCCGCAGTTCGTCCGACCGACTGCCCTGCCTGCTGATGCTTTTGAGGCAGATGTTCTTGAAAGCCGTCTGGTCAAGACCCATCTTGCATGTTCAGCTCTTGCACTAGTTGCCTAGTACTACCCGGCACAGGTCAGCAGTGGACCTTGGGAAACTGGTGTGCCGTGCCCATCCTCAGGCATGGGAAGCACATGCGAGTTGCGCGCTCGTAATATATCCTGATAGGCGACACCTGCCAGATCGGTTTCCACTGGCTGACCGATCAGGCTCCTCGAAGTATTGCGGCATGGGATTGACGATGTGTCAAGCTCCGTATTCTTAGGTAGACGTGCCCAGCGGTGGTTTTGCCACAACTGGCCTCATGCACAGCCTCATGCGCAGCTTTCTGTGCTGCAGAGTCGAGTCCAAGGTCGGCTGGCGATCGGCTCAGCGGAACCTCGCTGCATTCGGCTGGACCAGAGCACAGAGGCACAAGGAACTTTTCTCTCCTTAGCTCTGCTTCGGCTTCGTGCTCAAGTGCTCGTCCAAGGCGACCAAGCACGCGACCAGCGTTCTGGTGCAGTACTGGTCGTCGTCCGCGAGAAGCTGGCGGTGGCCTCGAACGCTCCTTCCGTTGATCTTGGAGTCAGGCTTCGGGGTCTAGCGTGATGCGCCTACGCCTGGAATCTTCAATGTATTTTCAATTGCTTGATATGTGATTTGCCGCTCGAAGCTTCAAGGTCTTTGCGACCATCCCAGCCCATTCCTTTGCCTGTAGTGGCATTTTTCGCAGTTCTTCGGAGGAGTTGAGATTTTGCATCCCTTGATGGGCATTGGTCCCACTCAACAGGTGGTGGTTTCTTAGCTCTTCCTTCAGAGGTGTCCGGAAGGCTCCGAAAGGTAGGGGGCCCGGCGAAGGCCGAAATCCGTGGGCTCGGTGCCGTTGGACATGTGGTCCACGCGTCTGCGTGCTTCTGGGGGAAGGTTTATGTTTTGCCTCGACTGATTGACATCAGCAGGATGAGTCCATCCCGCCTCCCATTTGAGAGAATGCTAAATGTTACAAAACTGGCAGGTACTGACATGGCGAAAATGGATTTGCCATATCTGCATTCAAGGTTTCAGGCATCGAACATCATCTAGGGTTCTTATTTTCAGGGTTTAGGGTTGGCTATTAGTCTGTGCGGCTCTCGCCGTCAGACTTGGCCAAACCAATGACAAGAGCGACAAACATGTAGTACATGCGCGAATGACCTCGATGTTGGACATTACGAGCATCAAGGCAACAATCACGGATCAAGGCCATGTAAACCGTTCGTCAGGAAAGTAAAGGCTCATGCTAGCTGCTAGATGCAGTTTTGAAGATCAGGCTGGTTCGCGAAAGCCACGGTATTCAATTTTGACCTTGTTAGCACCCGGGCCACCTTGAGACCGTGCCGAGGCAGGACCACACGCTCTTCACCTCCCTGAGCGGAGGATCTGCAACTCTTCGACTCCCGGAGGCTCCCGTCTTTTTTTTTGTTGCGGAGGACTTTTAGTTCCAGCCTTGCATTGGACAGGGCTAGGGCATGCTACTGTAGGATACTTCTAGGGCTAGGAAAGCCAAGATGAGCATGTGGGTGTCTGTGCAGAGCTCCGTTGTTGGTTTCACTTGCTTTGCCAGGTTCCGGTGAGGTGAGTTGATCCTACCGAGACAACGCCTGGTCTGTGGTGCTTCGAGGCGAGCCAGAAGGAGTGGGCTGCCTGTATGGGCATGCATGTACTTTCGTGCCAGACTTTTCTCGCGCCTTTTCATCACATCCATCGGACCTCTGGGCTCAAAGGGACAAATGGGGGATCCGGGTGGCGGGCAGCGCCGGCCCATGCAAGCCCGCCTCTCGTGCAGAATCGCAGTTCCGGTTCAGGAGTTCAGGAGCCTTCTCAGTCGGCTTCTGAGGTCGGTGGTCTGTGCGGCCTCCTGCTTGCAAATGGCTTCCCCCTCAGCTTCGGATGTCCCAGGACAGTTGGAGCAATTGTGGAGGCTGCGTGAGTTGATGGCAGGATGACGGCAGCTGTAGAGTCGGTGAAGCAACCATGCTTCCTGATGAGGCCAAGTAGAAGGGTGGGATGACAGCTGGCCGGTTGACAAGATCCAGGCTGACAAGCACATCAACCTGAACGTCGGCATGAAGATGGCGAGTAGATACATTGCAGATCAGGCCAGGCCAGGCCCCCTTTAAGTTTCTTGCGGCTTAACTCCTTGTCGCAGATGCTGGAGCAGCGGCATCTCAAAGTCCTGCACAAGACGCTGTCTACCGCCTGGAACAGGCCCGCCTTCTGGGACATGAAAACCAGGATTCTCTTCTCGTGACCGTGTCCGTTGCTTTGGAGGACCGGCCAGGTCCAGTCGCTCTCTGCAGCTATAGCCCTGATGGAGCAGTCGATCGCCTCAGACGACAGAACGGCCTTGAAAGAACTGGGTGTGAAATCCTCATGTTCATTGCGACATTTGGGAGACCGGTGCTGTTTTCGGATTCGGAGTCCAGAGGCACGCGTTGTGAGTGCCTCGATGCGAGGTACGGCGTGGAGCTGACTGACGAAGAGGTTTGAGAACTCATGCTTTGGATCATGCTTTGGTGTTGCCGCCCAGTCCGAGAGCCGTCTAGTTTAATGGCAGAGCGCAAACAGAAAACTTCGCGACGCAGCAAACCAGATCTTCAGAAACCCTCGTCATCACCAGCTGAAGCCCGGAGTGTGCAGGTGCAGCGGATAGCTTCCATGGAGCAGGAGCAGCAAATAGCAGCCTTGGCGCATGCCTCAAATTCTGTAAACTTGCAGCTCTGCACTCCAAAGGCATGCGCTGTGGAGCTCAGCGTATTTGACGAAACTACACGCCGGTCTGGCGAACGAACCTCTGAGCTGCTGACTCCCAGGTGAACAAGATGCCGCAGGAGTCCAACGAGCAGTTCCAGCAGTTTTTCCTCCAGCTGCAGGCCTGTCACCGTCACCCCAAGTATTGCGCTCCACTACTAGGTAGCACATGTAGCACCTTTCACGTGCTGTTGCCCTGCGTGAAACTTGCGCCAGCTCTTGGTCTCCACGGCCATGCGGGTCCGAAGTGGGCTGGAGGATGGTGCTCCAGAGAAGGCTTCTGCCTGAGCCCGCAGCATCCCGCAGCGCGCCTCGGATTCGCAACACATGCGACGTGCTCAGGTGGCCAGCGCCCTGGATGACGCCGACAGTACTGGAGTGACCCAGCACATCCTCAGGACCGAAGCCTCTCCAGCCGAGATGTCACAGACTCTGTGCTTAGCAGGATGGCCGTGGTCCAGGCCGGCAGCGAGGCAGACTGTCATTGGCGCAGCCCTAGGCCGCCCGGCCGCCCGGCCCAGTTTTTTGTCTTCAGGCCTCGATGCAGATGCTGGAGTACGAGGCGACGCGCGGGGACGGCCTCGCTGTGTCATTCCTTGCACGGCTTCGCTGCAGGCGTGGGTCCGAGAGGCCGATGAGCAGATGGCCCGGCTGATTCGGGGCCAGGCCGGGATATGCGGTACATGGCTTGGATGCCTGTTGACACGGTGAGAAGCCTTTGCAGGAAGATGCCATGGCTGCCAGGAAGAAGCTGGCTACGCTGCAGGCACCGGAGAGCAG